ACTTGCCTGTATTATCAATTCTATCTATTAGTTTTTGCAGCCCTGGTTGAATAAAAAAAAAAAAAACCTTGAATAAACAATGATGGCTGCCACTTAGTTTGGTCAGTTTCAAGTTATTTCAGAGCAAATTGTGGGTTAATTTTTTCCTGGAAGGGTGCCAATAAATGTATCAGTGTCTGTATATCTGTATAGCACATGCTATATAAACAATAGTCAATACAGTATGCCTTGTATTGCCTGGTGATGTAAATGTTTCGGCAATTGTGGAAAGCCCCTTTAGGCCATGTGTAGCACTCCCTTACCGCTTAGACTTGTCATTGGTGTTAATCTGCTTGAAATTGTCTTCATGTCTGCGGTGTAAGGTTCAGTATCTGTGTGGGTGGGGTATTATCTGTCAGAACTCTGGTATTCTATAAGTGAGTGAGCAGGGCACTATAAACCATTTGCCACTTTTGAAATGTAATAGAAGCTGACACTGAATATATCCTCCTTTTGGTGTGCATTCACAGCATGTAAAGTAGTAATAAGATGACTGCTAGAGAAAAATCTTTGTGATTGAGCAGAGCACGATCCAGAAGGATCACGGGGAGAAATGGAGTGTATTGAATTCAGACAGGAAAACTTGTACGGCTGTTTTTGCTGGGGCTTTGCACTTGTGTTCACGTTGCTGTGAAAGGTGCAATTCTTCTTTATTGTGACTTTTGTAAAATACTTGAAACAGAAGATACAGTATTCATAATGGGGCATATTCTGTTTTTAGAGTATGTCAGTTGTTCTGCCATCATCATTATCCCAGTTTTCTACTTTATATACCAGAATTGTGGCCAATTCCAAGACAGTGAAAATAAAGTTTACAGTTCCAGCGCTCTAGCTTTGGCATAATATCCACTTTCTTTCCCTATCCACCCGGGCCTTGGGGGTCACCGTCTAGGAAGAGTGGGGGGATCGGTGTGGGACGAGGCATACCTGAGGGCGAGCCGGCAGCATGGGTACTGCCGGGCGCCATCTTGGCTGCGGACCGGTCGCATGTCTGCCGATCGCGGAGGAAGTGTTCCAGCGATCCCCTCGGCAGTTTTGGGGTCTTTGGCAGCTTTGTGGAGGTCTTCCGCTTCCCTGCCATGGTTCAGTGGTAGCCGGCTTGCTGGAATCAGGTCGGATGGGTGCGGATGCAGTGGGTCCAGACGGAGCTCAGCCTAAGTGCGACTCTCCACCATCGTGTCCAGGCCACGCCCCCCTTTCTTTCCCATTTAATAGAATTTGCAAAACTTTTCTTAAAGCATATCTAAGCTGCAAATCAAAATTATAATATATTGCAGCTAACCGGTCTTTAAATGTCACAGCTGCATTAGCTTTCTTTTTTCCAGACTGTTTTCCTTTATTTTCACCTGGTGATCTGGCCAGTATAACAATTCCGGTCCTGGCGTGTATACACTCAATCCCTCTACTGTATCTAAGGAGTAGGAGAATTGTCACCCTAGGCTTCTCTCCTGATTTGGACTATAAACACCTCCTCCTTTTCTTCTCTGTTACATTGGGAGGGGGGGAGGGTGTAATTTACAGTAGATAGCTGAGAAAGCAAATACAATTTTTTGAGATTTCAATTCACTCATAGGAAGTGAAAAGGACACTGCATTTTTGGCACGATCAACAGGTATTTTATACAAATCAATGGACTTATCCTAAAAAAAGAAAATGAATGCAGTGTAAAGCCCCACTCACACCAGATGCGGTGGCATCTGTTTTTCAACAGATTGCAGCGCAAGGGCATCTAAAAATGAATGGGTGTGAATGGGAGCATTTCACACTAATGCGTTGCATTTATGTCAGCAGGCTTTACTTTTTTTTTCAATGCAATGCAACACAATGCAGGTTTAACCATCAACGCAAGGCAGAACCAATACCTTTTTATATAGCTGAGTGTAAAAAATAAAATGCAATGCATGTTAACATACTATACCAATGCAAGTGCACACGTCCAACACACATGCTGCTATACAACAGTTTTTAAGACACAGCTAATATAGCCCTTCCTCTTTGATGTTATAGCTTGGCCGACTGCTTGCCATTCAGTCTTTCGGGCAGTAAATGAGGGGATGTGTGCTGTTGCCTGGCCCTTGCCAAAGCATAACTTTCACCTGTTTTAAGAGATATTAGATAGCTGGGAGAAAGTTAAATGCGCAGCTGCTGGGAAAACATCAGATATGTTTTTTTCACTGCTATTAATGAATTGTAGGTCAGGTTCTACCATCCAAGAATATACACTATATCTGCCAAAACTTTCAACCAGCCATGGCTTAAACTGGCCGTACACAGATCTAATTCCGTCCATTTTCCCCGCTGTTCAGGTATTCTAACATCTGCAGTTGCCGCTTGTCAATATACAATAGCCAGCAAAAGAGGTTCCTCCATCCATTCACTTTAGCTTGGATGGGGGAATTGGGTGATCTCATTCAGTCTGAGGGACTGAATGAGAAAATTCTTAGTGTATGGCCAGTTTTAAAGTAGAGATCTCTTATGGTCATAGTGCTATATGCTTGTACTATAGCTCATAGAAGAGTAATATGGTAATCAAGAATGAAATGGATTTCCTTCTCAGCTGCATCAAATGCTCTGTTTTAAAAATGGACTGAATTGTCTAATTGTAAGCAGACCTCAGGCTTCTGAAAGATCATTTGCTCTTCTTGATTTTGGCCATAAAATCATGTAAAATGATTGACATAAGCATTCACCCTGTTGAACCATTACACATTTTGTGTTCAAGTCTAGAGCTGAAATAAAAAATTTTGGGGGGTTCTATGGCACTGATCTATGCAAATTGGTCCATAATGTGGAAGTGTAAGAAAAATTATTCTACATTATTGCAAAATAAAAAGCTAGAAGTTTTGGTTGCATAGGTATTCACTCCTATTGCTGTGAAATCCTTAAAGAAGAACTTCAGTTAAAAATGTTATTAACCCTTGGTGGGTTATTTTTTACTATATAATGAAAAAAGTACCGTAAATTTCGAATAAAAAAATGTTTTTCCTACGTTATGTTATAAAACATCTATTCTTACCCATATTTTGGGTAAAATATAAGACAGGGTCATGTCGGGTAAATAAACACCAAACAAGCCAAGCCTTAAAATTGTGTGCGCCCGCAAAATCACAAAAAAACGACCACACTGAAAATTGGCCATAGGCAGCGCTTAAAATGTTTTTACCGCTCATCAGTTTAGTGTTATCAGTAATTAGTGGCCCTAAAATTATTGCTCACACTCCAACGTTCGCGGTGATATGTAACATGTGCGGCACAATAGGCGCAATTGTTTTTGCATGTAGGCGCACCCCACGCATGTGTATGTGGGTGGCAGAGGACTTTTTTTAATGCTTCTTTATTTTTTATGATTCTTTAATTTTTTTTTATTTTTTTTTTACACAACTTTATTGATGACACATGGGGGGGGGGGCTAAGAAGCCCCCCATGTGATAGACAATTTACATCACAGGTCCTCTTTATGAAGACATCAGGGGTCTCCAAGACCCCTGATGTCACCTAGGGACCCCCAGAGAAGCTGATGAAGCAGAGATCTGCTTCATCAGCTTTTGTATCTGGAAAGTGACACTGAATGCAGGAAGTGATTCAATTTACATCACTTCCTGCATTCCGGTACTGGAGAGTAGATCAAAGGGAGATCTTGTACTGATCTCCCCTTGATCTCCTGTCGCAGAGCCATGCCGGTCCCAGCCGCATCTTATAGATATAGATATCTATATATAGATATAGATATAGATATATATATATTTTTTAGAAACTAGACACAAACAAGCACTTTACCATTACAGTGCATGGGGTTACCCCACTGCAAAGGTTAATAAAAATGTTTTCCTGGAGTTCTTCTTTAAATATGCTCTGGCGGTTGCGCCATCAGAAATCATATAAGAATGGAGTCCACTTGTGCGCAATTAAAGCGTCACATGATTCAAGAATACATTTGCCTGTTTCTGGAAGGTCCCAGAGTTTGTTATAGAACATGCATCATGAAGACTAAGAAACTGGCAAAATAAGTCCTAAATACAGTTTTAGATAAGCACCAATCATGGTTAGCTTTATTTTGTTTTAATATAATCTATCTCAAACTTTGAACATCTTCAGCTAAAGCTATCATGTAAAAAAATATGAAAATAGTATGGCACAGCCATGAAAGCCAGTAATAACTAAAGAATCTGCAGAAATAAACAACTAGATTAGAAGAAACCATAATAGGACAAGTATGTCCTAGGCACACATCTGGGCTTTATTGAAGACACACAGCAAGAGAGCCATTGATAGGGAAAAACTCTTATCTACTCATCAGGTTCCACCGATTCCTAACGCACAGTCCCTGTCATGGGTTGGTTTATGGCATGTCATGCATAGATTAATTGCGTTTGTATTAGTAGACAGATTTGGCTACAATGGACCTCTGCTTGTGTCCAGCCATCATATCATCATTGGCCATGGCTGTGAAACGCTATGTGTGAAAGACATGAAGAGTGTCATAGATACGTTAGAAATCGTTCTCGCTGCAGATCGACAAATGGCGCAGCTTGTGACCGCTTCATGTACTGTATGTGTAAGTAAGGTGTATATGAATCTGTCGCAAATCTGACAGAACTTTCACACAATGTACTCCAAAATGAAAGCGGTCCTTTTTACTTCTACTTTATCACTGATATGCCGGTGTTTCTTTATGAATATGTTTCAGCAATAGTGACTGATAGTAAAACTGTTGCAAATAAGAATTACTTCAATTTGTCACATACGTCTGTACTAACAATGAAAATGTCGCGCTCATTTCATGAACTTTGTACAAGGCCTCCAACTACATCTACAGAAATTAGTCACAAATGGCTCTCTGAATTTGCCCATATACAGTATATTTGTTACTTATGGTGATCATAGGCTGACACATTCATGGCCTGTTGCGTTTTCACATGCTTTGTAACAGACCTAACTTTCATGTCTTCATCTTATTGCAGGATTTTCACCTTAACAGAGTCGATCTACAAGAGACCCAAGCAACAGAAAGTAGTCCTTCTGGAGCCCGGCCAAAGAAAAAGAACATAAAATCCTACGATTTAACAGTGGCTGATAGGTTCTGGCAAAAACACAAAGGCAGGTGTGTTGAGATATACCAGTTCCTTTCTTTACTTTTTTTCTGTTGTGGTAGTTAATGTTTTAGGTTACAGTTACAAGTCTTTGCATGATGATTTTGTATGAACACCTAGTGCTCATGCCTAAAATCCCAACATTTTATAATACACTCAATAAAGTATAGTGTGCCTTTTTAAAACGAGGTATTTGCATCACTTCCAACACAAATCTTTTAAAAAAAGAATATATTCCTTACTTTAGGATAATGATGACATGTAAACACCTTCTGGTTTAAGAAAGGTGTACTGTACATTTCTGCGCCTTAGAGGAAGTGGTTCTTCTGGCCCACCGCACCCTGTGTCTACTAGCGAAATGATAAAAAACAATCTAAGAAGCATCTCTGTTACTCTCCATAGCCCCTTTCCTGAAGTTGCTGAATCAGTGCAGCAAGAGCTGGAATCTTACCGCAATCAAGAAGATGAAGTTAAAAGACTAAAAACTATAATGGTAAGGAGTTTTCAGTCACTTTCATGTATGTATTATACAGTGGGTTTCTTTTTTATGTTTTCCATTTTAGTGGTAAATTGGTGCTGTTTGAGACCCTAAAAGTAGGCACGTGACTGGAGCATAATGTATTCAAGTATTGCCTTTTAATTGAATAAACCCTGCAGGCAAATGCACTTCAGAAGAATCCAAAATTCATTTGGAAAATGTGTGGTATGTTGTGAGACGTAGCAATCTTAGATCAGGCTACAGAGGTCCTTTCACTTCCTTAGTACTTTCTTACAGTCTCCTCTAAAACCTATTCTCCCTCTTCCCTCCCATACATCAGATTGCAGATCTAGTTGACCTCCTCTCCCTAACCATCAAAAAAAACACAGGATCTAGCTGACCTCTTCTTTCCCATACAGCTGTACATATGTTTTGTGGCCTTCTCTCCCCAGCCACCCTTCTCTCCCCAGCCACCCATCAGCACACGGGTCCTCTTCTCCTTCTATCCCCCACCATCCAGCAACACACAGGTCCTACTCTCCTTCTATCCCTCACCATCCAGCAACACACAGGTCCTCCTCTCCTTCTATCCCTCACCAACCAGCAACACAGGGGTCCTGCTGTCATCCTGTTCCACCACCTCCAGCAACATACAAGAACAACCTCCCTTTCTTTCTTGCCATTCATGAACACACTTCTACTCTAATCTTTAGCTATACTGTACACTTTGCGCATCTGGGGTTTGTGCTATGTGAAGTGGTATATGTGTCCTTTGGACTATACCATTTCACTACAATGCTGACTTACTTTGAGACAGTTAATACATAAATAGCAGTGTACTGTTCATTCTTGTGGATCGACAAATGGTGGAGCTTGCGACAGATTCGTGTACTGTATGTGCCAGTAAGGTGTATATGAATCTATAATACAAAATCACCTGCACTCCATGCAGAGTACAGACCTTGAGTAAGAGGTTGGTGCTTGAAGTGACAACACGTATGGCGCCTCCTCTCCCTACCCATCAAAAAACACAGGATCTAGCTGACCTTCTATTGTTTCCCATACAGCTGTACATATGTTTTGCTGGCCTTCTCTCCCCAGCCACCCATCAGCACACGGGTCCTCCACTCCTTCTATCCCCCACCATCCAGCAACACACAGGTCCTCCTCTCCTTCAATCCCTCACCATCCAGCAACACACGGGTCCTCCTCTCCTTCTATCCCCCACCATCCAGCAACACACAGGTCCTCCTCTCCTTCTATCCCTCACCATCCAGCAACACAGAGTTCCTGCTGTCATCCTGTTCCACCACAGCCAGCAACATACAAGAACAACCTCCCTTTCTCTCTGGCCATCCATGAACACACTTCTACTCTAATCTTTAGCTATACTGTACACTTTGCGCATCTGGGGTTTGTGCTATGTGAAGTGGTATATGTGTCCTTTGGACTATACCATTTCACTACAATGCTGACTTACTTTGAGACAGTTAATACATAAATAGCAGTGTACTGTTCATTCTTGTGGATGGGTGCCCAGTGTATTATGAGCTAAAATCATTCATGTCATTCAGTGTCACCAATTGAATAATAGGAAATATAATAACTAATAGAAAAATAGTTCCTTATAGATAATTGATTATATTAAGTGATGAAGCTGGTAATCGTGCCTCATTATGTGCCACACTTCCATTCACATTATTAAAAAGTACACTACTAATTATTGAACCATGATCTGCCTGGCGATTAGATATTAGGTAGCCCGGACTCATGATAACTTTTATTAACCTTTTTGAAGCAATTTATTTATTTGGTAAGGGGGTCAAAAGGACCCCATATCGGTTCACCTAATGGACAACATCTGCTCCTCCCACCACTAATTCTTTCCTCTTGCATACAATTTAAAATGTTTTGCCAAGTGAGATGTACATGTATCTTAAGTATAAGTTATTCACATAATTTGAACAAGTTGTATCCTAAATCCCCTGTCAGTGGGCAATATTTTCATAGGAGTTTCACAGAGTTAATGTGTCTCCTATACATTCAGATATATAACTTACTACAGTATTTCTAACAAGTGTGTCAAAAATCAGCCAAAAAGACCAAAGTGCCATACAAATGTCCTTTTTCAGAAGTTTGCAGTATGTTGTTTTATTGCAAAACATTTACCAACAATATTACTGTATACATTACCTTTTGTAACATATCTTTGCAAACTTTTATGAAGTTATATTTTGCAATGTGTTTCTCTGTGTTCCATAACTCAAGCTAATGGGTTGTGTAACAGATTAGACCAGCAGGGTGAGTACGAGTTGTTAGACCGCTCTGTACTAAACAGTGCAGTTGTCTCTGTTACTTTTAAGAAGAAAACCTCTAATATGGTTACTGATAACTGAAATGTAATTTTTATTTTATTGTCAGAACACAAGTAAGTGATTTGCACAACGTTAACTGTCTACACTTTAGTTGATGAGCCCTGACTGCTGAGCATTTCTGTTTATTACAGGTTTGCATTTGGCATTAGGTATAGTTCATATTATGCTCATATGGCATGCCTTTTCTCCAAAGCGAGAGAATTTAGATCAGTATGCACACAGACATAATACAATAATCACATCTATGCTGGATCTTTCTCCCGGAAGCTGGCAGGAAAATCCATAGCAAAAAACCCCCCGCATTTTGGTGTTAAGTCATGTGCGTACAAGATTAACTAATTCTCTTGGCAAGAATATTCATTTATCCTAACTTCCCACCCAAACGCAGGTTTGGCACATTTATTTTTATGCCCCTGAACAGTGCTCTAAAATATGGATCTAAACGCCACAATGTGCATGGACACATTGGATAAAATTGGGCTGCCCCTACAAGTGGCGTTTGTTCTGCGCATGTGCACGAGGCCTAAATTGGGCAACACTTTGGGGGTGATTCCTAAGCTCTTCAGCACCATCTAGTGGTGGTAGTGCTGAGCACATGGCATTTGTCCATCTATACCAGTGTTTCTCAAACTTTGTCCAGTCATGGCACCCTTTAAAAGTATGCAAAATCCAGAGTCACACCAGCCTAAGATGTAAAAATGATATGGCCTAATCCCAGATAGGGAACTGGTGTGGATTTTAAGTGGGACCCTACACAAAAACAGAAAAATGTGAGATACAGAATTCCCTTTTTACATACAGAGTCCCCCTGTTTACATAAGGATTCCCCCTTCACATAAGAGTCCTCAGTTTCCCCTTTACATCAGGAATCACAGCTATGGCAGAGGGTGGGAAGCGGAGCAGGCCTAGATACAGGCAAATGTCTATCTTTTCTGAATTGATCTCACCCCTGTATTAGCTCTCATTAATTTCATTGCTGCTTGCGGCCAGCCTGCCAACAACATGGGAAGGCATGACTCTGAAAAAAACTTTAAGGCACCCCACAGCACCCTGATTGAGAAAGGCTGATCTATATGCTGGACGGAAGAGTTATAAGTTTTTAATTTTTACAGGTAAATGCAGGAAATATAGATTAGGTTATTGTGCATAACGATACAACGCAGGGTATAGTTTCCATACAGCACAGTTCGGACATATTTAAACAATAAATGTAGGTAATACGCAATATATAATACCCAAATAATTTTAAAACTACATGAACAAACAGTCCAAGAAAAAAGAAGAGGAAGAAAAATTGAGAAATAAGAAAATAAATAAAAAGTGTGGCGTGGGAAAGAAGGAGGGAGGGGCATAGGGTTCTTGTCACAATCTCTCCCACCCAGGGGAATCTAGTAATGATTAGTTCCAGTGTAGGGATTAAAGATATAAACTTATGGGGTCAAAGTGTTTGGATGGGTATGATTGATCCAGGACTGCCAGATTGTTAGTAATTTGACACATTTAGAAGGATTAGCCATTATTTTTATTGCACACCAAGCATTGGCTTTTCTACATGTTTCATTGAAGCGTAGCTATAGACAAAACTATTTATTGAAGTTTTGAATGGAGTAAGGAAAGGTCAGAACTCCAATGGTTTTTCTGCTATCTGGGGCTCTGTTATAGAGATCTCCTCTCACTTTCTGTTTTGGAGACAACGTTTTGCCAAACAGGAAGTGAGGGCAAAACTGCAACCGGAAAAAAACACACAACAACAAAAAACTCTGAAAGGGGTCTTAACTTTTCCCTACTTTAATTTACCAAAAACATGTCTACTTCTGTCTGTGTAGCATTTGGAGAATTTCCTTCACTTCCCTGTCTGGTAAAAGGTGATTAAATACTGTACAGAGGACTGTAAGAGATTGATACCTGATGATGAAATCTAGGTAGTTACACGTACTGAGCTGCATTCATTTGTGTCTTTCATATCTGCCTTGAGTTCAGCTTTAAATCTCTGTATGATGACAGTAGACATATTTGCAAAAAGGTTTATCTTCCAACAACTATTGATCTTACAATTTTTTTCAGGGATTGGAAGGAGAAGATGAAGGTGCAATCAGCATGTTGTCTGACAATACAGCTAAGCTAACATCTGCTGTCAGGTAATCACAGCTTGTTGTAGATTGCTGGCAATGGAATATATATAATATTATTACCAAAAGTATGCTTTTTCTGTAGATTGGACTAAAATGTGAGTCCAGGAAACGGTTATTGTCGTTAATTCTGAAGTTGCATGTAGATATCTGTGTGAATGAGTGTTTTTGATAAAGGTGTTGTGACTTCTGTGAAAATAAATCATGAAAACCTGAGTGTGAGAAAAATCTGGATATTTACATCTGACTTGCTTCTTCTTTCCAAGAATACATATAGCATATCGGCTGACTACAGATGGTATGCAAAGTATCCGAGGCATTAACCTTCTCATTCTTGTTCTGTCTACTTAGCTCGCTCCCTGAACTCCTGGAGAAGAAAAGACTCATCGACCTGCACACTAATGTAGCCACTGCCGTGCTGGAACATATCAAGGTCAGTTGTCAACTTTAAATGCAAACACACGCATAAAGTAGACAGTGCCAAATTATTTTATTATACTTTCCTAGTGTGGAAGAGGGTATGTTTGTGTGGAATGAATGGAGGATTGATATTTCCATTTGAGCTGGCCACACATGTAGGCTAATCCTACCATCCACACTGAGATAAATTGGGTGAGATCCTAAATGCAGTACGTTTCTTCCAGTACTGGGCTATGGACAGAATGCAATATGGTGATTGTCATAATACCTTCACAGGCATGTGACCAGAACCCAAACCTTTACTTGTGCATTACGCAGTTGTCTACAGGGAAAAGGGTGCAAGTTTAAGGTATATTTTCTAGGAAATTGGTCAGTAATTCACTTGGGACTTTATTCAATTGAGACTTACCCAGTCACTGCCATATCTCTCACTCATCCAGGGTCAGAACAAAGACTCATACTACCCACATCTGCATTTTTGTAATAGCTTTGTTAGTCTTTATGGTCTAGCTTTTTCCAAAGTGCTGGTGGCTACTAGGGATGCACCGAAACATATCGGCCAAAAATGGCGCTTTTGGCAGAATGCAGAAAGTGCCATCTTTCGGCCGAAATTGCGGCGCATCTCTAGTTTCTCTCCTCCACACTGGGCTCTGGTCTGGGGCCCCTCTGACACAGCGCAGCGTCCAGCATGGAGGAGGGAAACTGTCAGGAGCCGAGTGGTTCGGGGGAGGAGATAGCTGTGAGGGTGTCACAGGAGGCTGAGCTCTCCTCCCGCACTGCCCCGCTTAGCCTTCTGCCCAGATCAGGAGAGCCCCCCCCGGCACCGCCGGCTCAGCTTTGACAACGAGTCAGGATGGAGAACAATATACAAACATTCAGCGATCGCTGAATGTTTGTACATAACTGGACATAGTGTAAGTTACTATGTACCAGTTATGAATGGGAACTTATCTTCCTATTCATTCATGATTTTGTACATAGTAACTTATACCATATCCACAAGTTATGAATGAACAGGAACACTCAGTATAGAGCAGGGGTGCCCACAAGGTCGATCGCGATCTACCAGTCGATCGCTTAGCGAACACTGGTAGATCGCCATGCCCTCCCCCCCCGCCGCTTCTCTGGATCCCCGCTGCTCTCCCCAGCGGGGATCCGAGAAGAAGTGAAGGAGCAGGCGGCGGGGGAGGGCGGAGGACGGAGCCGCTGTCACAGAACTAATGCAGAGCAGTGAGGAGAGAGAGAGAGAGAGACGCTCGGCCAGGATCTGACAGCCGGCGCCTCTCTCTCCCCTCACTGCTCGTCCAGCACTATGTGTCCCCAGTTCTTGCACCGCCACGCCCCCTCGCGCCCCTGAATGCAGGTGTTTTTTCGTTGGTATATCTCAATGAGCTCGTCATTTGAAAAGTAGATCTCCAGACGAAAAATAGTGGGCGACCCTGGTATAGAGGATTCCCGTTCATTCAGTGCTGGGCCTGCAGAAAAAGAGATTGAGGACACAGCATTTTCTATCTATTTCTGTTTAGACCCCTGATATTTCCCCGAAGCCCCCAACAGTAAAGTTAAAAAAGAAAAAATATTTATTAAAAATAAATAAATAAAAATGAATACAAAATAAAAAGTTTAGAAAAACAAAGTAAAAATAAAATACTTTTAAAAATGTAAAAAGGTTAAAAAAAATAATAATTTCGGTTTGGGCCTGACATTTTTTATATTTTCGGTTTCGGTCTCAAATTTTCATTTCAGTACACCTCTAGTGGCTACCTTATTTCTCCTAGAAAACGTGAGCATGTAAGCTTTGTATATCAGCCTTGAACTTTACTCTGTCTTTGATGTTCTGTCTTTTCACTGTTCGTGACTAATCCTATGCGGAGAGCACAGTCTAGTCTATCCAAAAAATCTGGATGGTTTGTTTGCAGCTGAAAGACAGAGCAAAGAATTCACTTCGCTAATGTCCATATTTACTGCCTGGAAACATGTATTGCAGGAATTTCCTCCAACATTTAGCTGTTTTACCACCATTTGGCTTTACTGTGACAAAATTGTTTTTTCTGTGGTCTCTGCTGAAACAACAATGTTCATTGTATCTGATTTTAGCCTTCAACTGTAAGTTTATGGCAGACTCCCGTCTGGCAACACAAGACTACCAGTGTAGTGGTGTTCTTATACGTCACATGTGGAGGGTATAGTTTTATATACCGTAGTTTAGTCTTACTGGAAGCTACCCTTGTTTAAACTATGATGTTTTTTTGCCATCAGGCAAAGGAGCACCTAAGTATGGCTCCATGGATTTACCTACTGATATGACAGTCTCATCTGATTGGACTGCAAAATGCTTCACTATCACAGGATTTTCTGCAAAGCTCCGCAGTTCAGAAGTAATGTCTGTGGTATGCTCTGCAGCAAAACAGTAGTATGCCATTTCCATTGAATGACTGCATAATATTGCAGCGCCACAGGAAAGTCCACAAGTTATTAAAGCTTCACAGGACACAGCAAAACTCCCAACATAATAACAATTCTAAGGTATTTGTGCAAAATAATGAGGGTGCAGTGCAGAATCTGCACGATGCTGCAGCTTCACAGGCAGGCATGCATGATACTGCAGCAAAGCAAAATAGCAAAACCCTGTGGGATTGTCCAAATAGATCTTAAGGCAATTTGACAGTATGGGATGCACTGTATGGCAGTCCGTTAAAGAGGCCCTGTCACCAACTTACAAGATTACAGGTAAAAGCACAGAAAAGTCAAGTATTTCAAGTACTTACTTGCATCATTTATCCTTTCCATAAAAATGTTTTAACTTGCAATGTTCCTCTGAACTTGCTTGCAAATTTGACTACTACAAAAAAGTCAGTTCCCTTATAAAGCCCCCTCCTCCTACTTGAGTGACAACTCTGCTGGGGCTGCCAATATTACATCTAAGATGGCAGCACCCGTCAGCAGTCTCAACCGTTGGTTGTCTACACAAGAGTCTTTTACATGTAAGTACATAAAATGTCAAATGCTTTTATAATCTAGGTTATTGTTAAAATGAGTAGTCTGTCGACATGGTCTGTTAATATGATTTTTCCTAGCTAGCTGCAATTTAGTTGCTGTAGGCAGCATTAAATCAAATGTTAAATAACAAATGTATAACCTTCAGGTAGAGTGTACATATACAAAACAAAATATAAAAATGGTTGTTAATATTGTTTTAAAATAATGATTTGAAGAAGTCTCACCTTTTTTTATTATTTTTTCTCAGCCCTGTCACCTAACTCCCACAGTATATGTTGCTTCTTCCCATGCTTCTGTGTGATCTAAAACCTGAGATAAAGACTTTGACAGTTTTACTCCTCTCCATTCCCGACTACGCTCTGCAAAGGAGATAGACACTTGATTTACAGCTTTTTTTCTCATTGTCCCTATACTTTCCAGACACAAAACAAGGCTCCCCTTCCAGTTCCAATGCCTGTGCTGATTCCTGTGAGAGTGTGCCTCCTCCCTCTGCATTCTTGTGACCTCGTTTGTGGCTGAAAAGTGCAGAGCTGTCAATAAAGAAGCCCTCTATTTTGCAGCGTGTGGTCAGAATTGAGGAGGAGTGAGCTGTCAAAAGTCTGTATCTCAGTTTCTACTGCACACAGAAGGGTGGGAGAGAAAGCAACATACACTATCGAGTTACGTGACTAAACTGTGGGAATTAATAAAAGGTGTGACTTCTTCTTTAAAGGTTAAATACATAAAGCTACAGCCAAATATGTAGTTAAAATCCACCTATATGAAAAGAATGTTTAATTCTGTTCAACACTTTGTGTGATTCATTCAGCCATGCTAGACAGTGCAATCATAAGGGAGACACCACTTTTTCTGTTATAATTAAAGCTGGACCCTGGGATAAGCAAGTATTGTCTGCTTACATTAGGCAGGTGTTTACTCACTTGAATAATGTATATTTTGTACAGTAATCCAGTCTAAAACTATGCTTCTGTGCAGGAGCTTCCTGTAACAAAGACCAGGCACTGCTGATGTCTCTCCTTGTGCAGACTGGTCTTATATCTGCCCCCTTCTGAGGTTGTTTGCAATCAGCCTTTAGTGGGTGGGGCCTGCTGGGTCCCTCCCACAGCTCTGCTCTCTGTACAGGCCATGTGGCTGGGTTTCAGCTTTAAGGAATACACTTTTGTCACTTTCCCAGCTGCAGTTTACTAATTGGACAATGAAAGAGCAGCAACACAATGATGAATCATCAACTCTACTCACTGTCTCCACCTTTCAGCATGTTCACCACATGTGCATGCAGCAGAGCCTGAATGGCTCCTAGTGCAGCCCTTCCCTCGCTCAGTCCAAATACTGCTGTGCAGCAGACAACAGAGACCTGTTATCATGACAGATTTGTGTACTCGAGTCAGCTGTATGTTTATTTTTTTAAACATACACAACTGTATAAACTGGCATTTTATATTAACATGGAGATCAGATTTAGGATCTGTTTACTATAACCTTGTCCAGTAGGCTGTTTTCTGTAACCATCATTCTGCTACAGCGGAGAGACCAATGCTTCATTGTGCCCCTGCATTGATGCTGTCAAAGTTAATACTTCATTAGTTTCATTTCATTTTTCAAAATGGTATTAATGTATCCTGAAGAAAAATGAAACTTTCAAAATATCAAACCAGATGAAGAAAACATGGCACGTTGTTCACAAATGATGGGTTTTGGATTAGATAACATTAGGGAAAGCAGTGGTCATAAAGCACAAAACAAATATGAGAATGAGAGACAGATGATACGTATTTTGCTGCCAGTGTAGCACATTGCCTCTCAACACAAGCAGCTGCAAATGTCCGATCACTCAGGAAGTCAAAACACAACTCCCTGCCTGATGGTTTGTGTGTCAGCTGTAATTGCCTATCCCAGCTATTCTTAAGTTTTTAGACAGAGATCTTGGTTAGGATAATTTGTTTGTCAAATAAACTGTAGATGATGTTACTGTGGAAAATTTTGTTCAAAAAAAGGGAGTGTTTTTGTATTTTC